CATCCTCTCCGTGGCTGTACCACTTAACTTCCCCTCAGCTTCCTCATTCTCAGGGTGACTGCATCCTCTGTGAACAAAAGGGGGTCCCAAGGGGAAATCTAGGCCTTTGGTGAGTTCCACAGGGCTTGGGAAGTTCTGCTCTGCTCTCAAGCCATTCTCCCTTCACTCTTCTCTGCTTGTGCCCTCCTCAAGAATACCCTCATCCCAGGCCCTCATCCTAGAAACCATGGCTGGGACTTGGAGTAGCACTAGCTATGTGCAGGCTCTGTGCTAAAAACTACATGCGTTCTTTCATTTAACCCTCAAAAACCTGAGGTAGTAGTAGCATTACCTCCATTTTTGCAAATGAGGAAACTGAGGTTCAAGAGATGCCGTAACTTGGCCCAAAGTCACAAACGCGGGTTTCTCTGACTAGATCCTGAGCTGAGATTCTTATTCCAACATTCCTAGTCCCCTTTCTTTCTTCTTGCACGTTGGCGCGCGCTGAGGGCAATGATCCCAGCTGTATGTAAAACATACCGCTGGAAGAGACCTTAAGGATCATCTGCTTCAACGGCCTTTTTTACCGAGAAGGAAACTTGGGCTCCTAGCGAAGAAGGGACATGTCCCTCAGGTCACACACAGCTAGGGGCTGCTCTGCAGCGGTGTCTCCGCGTGCGCTATAGGGGGCTAGTGAAGCCCAGAGGGGCTGGCACCTGCCCAGACCCCGAATCCGTTCGAGACCCGAGGGAACCCCAGGCGCGCTCGCGGGCGTGCCCGCCGCGGCCACCACGTTTACCTGCGGGGCGAACCACCCCGCAGGCGGCCCGCCCGGCCTGAGCCCCCGGAGTACCTGTCGGCGGCGCAGTCCCTCGGCTAGGGGGGACCCGGCGCTGGCGCTGAGCGGGACACCGGCTCCGCCACCTCCGGCCTCCGGGCCGCTCCGCCTCAGAACGCTGAGGCCCCCAGAGGGCGCGGACGCCGGGACGCCGAGGAGAACTGGGAAGCGCTGGGCCCGGGAGGCAGGCTGGCCTGGCCTCCTCCACTCAAGCCCCCTACTTTGCCCCTCAACCGCCTGCAGACCCCGTCCTAGCTGCAGCGCACCTCAGGCGGAGCAACTCCAGCGCGCCTCGTAGTCAAACCACCCCGACTCCGGGTGGAGGGGGGCGAGGTTCCCATGGAAACGGAAGGGGGCCGTTTGCGCCTGTGTCGACGCGCTAGGTACGCTGGGAAATGTGGTTTCCGGGCTGTCACGCGAGGCCGGGCGAACGGATGCAAGGTGGCGCTCGAGCGTCGTTTTCTGTTCAGACCTGCCGGATTTCCCGCCCCGGCGCTTTTGCGGGCGCTGCTGCCAAAGGAGAGGCCGCGGAAACCTGAGAGGTAGTTTCTCGCGGCAGCCGCGGCTCTGAGACGTCTGGAATGCGCGGTGAAGGAGTGTTTGAAAACTTGCTGCTTTGGTGCGGGGCAAGGGGTGGCCGCGCCGGGTTCGACGGAGGGAGGACAGCACGGCGGGAGCTGCTCTCGGATGGAACGGCTGCCCGAGGGACAGGAGCTCCTCGTCCAACTAGTAGGGGCTGGGCGACCTCTCCCGTCCCTAAGAGGCCCTCGTGTCAGGTGGGAGTTGAATTCGAAGCCCGGTCATCTTGACCCTCCCTCCGGGGAGTTCGAGTCTGTTCCAGACCCAGGGCCCGCCATGGGGGGCGGAACTGTAACATCAGCGAGTCGACTTCCCGGGAACAAGCTTCTCCGCTTCCGAGTTATGCCCCTGAACTAGAAACCTAGGATCTAGTTCAGACCCTATTAGAGACTCAGTTACTTCTTATTTCTAACTGGGAGATAGGTGATCAGGATGCCTGCCCTCTCTCTTCTTCAGGGAGCCTTACCGGGTTCCTGTGAGATGACATGGGTGGGGAGGCCGTGCAGTCCTTTAAAGACGTAAACACACGTTCCATTCGGTGGCAATTCAGTGCAGTTTCTTTGGAAGGAAATTAAGCAATGCCTCTCCAAGTTAAAAATGCTTCAGCAATTCGAGAAACACCCTACAGATTTAGTGGCCTTGTGTGCCTAAGAAAGTATATAAAAGGGTATTTAATGATGCTTTATTTGAAATGGGGGGGGGGACTCCACCTGTAAACAACCACTTAAATAAATAAATGATGGAAGCTCCATAAAATGGAATATAAGCTGTTATTTTTAAAATGAGGCAGATCTTTATGTCCTGATGTGAAACGCTTCAGGATATGAAGAAATTTTTCAAAGTGCGGAAGAGTATGTTAATATACTATCATTTAAAAAAAAAAAAAACAACTATTTGATTACATAAGCATGGAGTGTCGTTAAACCAAAAAAACCAAACCTGTTGCCATCAAGTTGATTCTGACTCATAGTGACCCTATAGGACAGAATAGGACTGTCCCATAGGGTTTCCAAGGAACGGCTGATGGATTTGAACTGCTGACCTTTTGGTTAGCAGCCAAGCTTTTAACCACTGTGCCACCAGTGCCCTGGAGTGTCTTTGGAGGGATTCAAAAGAAGCTGGTAATAATCACCTGTGTCATGGATTGAATTGTGTCCCCCCAAAATATCTATCAACTTGGCTGGGTCATGATTCCCAGTATTTTATGATTGTGTACCACTTTGTAATCTGATGTGATTTCCTTATGTGTTGGAAACTCTCTCACTGTGATGTAATAAGATGGATTAGCGGCAGTTATACTGATGGGGTATACAAGATTGGATAGTATCCTAAGCCAGTCTCTTCTGAGATATAAAAGAGAGAAGTGAGCAGAGACACATGGGAACCTCACACCATCAAGAAAGCAGTGCCAGGAGCAGAGTGCATCCTCTGGACCTGAGGTTCCTGCACTGAGGTACTCCCAGACCATGAGAAGATTGATGACACAGACCTTCCTCCAGAGCCAACATAGAAAGCATTCCCCTGGCACTGACACCCTGAATTTGGACTTGTAGCCTACCGGACTGTGAGAGAATAAACTTCCCTTTGTTAAAGCCATCTACTTATGGTATTTCTGTTACAGCAGCACTAGATGACTAAGACAGTCTATGAAGGATGGAAGTGAAGGATTGGAGAATGGGAAGGGAAGTTTACTTTGCATTTTATACCCATGTTTACTTTTTTTTTTTTTGTCCCTGAAGCAATTTGGGAGCTTTGTATACATATATAGTTCTTAATCGTTCGCTTGCATTTTTTTTATTACTTTTTTTAAAATTGTGGTGAAAACACATACCAAAACATCCTCCAGCACAACAATGTCCACATTTACAACTCAGTGACATTGATTACATTTTTCATGCTGTTTGCCTTCATTTTTGGCGCAAATAGTTTTCCCTGCAATGCTCGTTTTCCAGCGTGCTGAATTCTTCTCAGAGTCCTCCATGGACTGTCATTGGCCCCACAGCTCTGCAGATGGATTGGACCCTGCCTTCTGAGCTGCACAGGCTGCGGGAGGCCAGAGCCTGGCCTTGGCTTCTCTCCTGACACCCCCGCCCCCAGCAGTCCCAGACCCAGCCAAGGCCTCCTAAAATAGCAGGCTGAGTGGGAGTCCTGGTTGTCTGTAGGGTAGCAAGCAGTCCCCAGTGTTTATCTAGCAGAGTGGGCCTGCCAAGTGGATAAAAAATCAGAACTAACTTCTCTGTACCCACCTAGTGACACTAGGCATCTGCCCATAAACCCGTTGCCTTCTATTCGATTCCAAGTCATAGCGATCCTATAGGACAGAGTAGAACTGCCCCGTAGGGTTTCCAAGGCTGTAATCTTTATGGAAGCAGACTGCCACATCTTTCTCCTGCGGTTAGCTGCCGGGCACTTAACCACTGTGCCACTAGGGCTCCTATGCCGCCCACAGACAGGCGCAAATGACTTCTGTTCTAGGGAGCACATAGAGGCTGAATTCTAGCATGTGGAGGTGACACAAAGCCACTGCCCTTGAGTCGATGCCAGGCACTTTAACCACTGCCCCACCAGGGCTCCTCGTAGGTGACATGGATTGTTAAAAAATATCAACTTGTGGGGGCATTAGGGATTTTCTGGTCTAATCCTTTTGTTTTACAGAAAGAGACTCAAGGTGAATTACTGGTAAAGCCAGGACCGGAAGCCAAGTCTCCTGCCCCCAGTACTTTAGGCTTGATGCTGGAGGCACACCAGGGTCAATGAGAGTCATTCTTAAAACTGCATGTGCCCTCAACCAACGAGAAGGTTTGATGCCAGTTTGTACCTCTGAGTTGGCTTGGAGCTGCAGAACCCCCTCCCCCTCCACACACACAACCAGTGTAGTGCGTCATAGGGGAGAGAGTATGATCTTGGGAAGAGGGGATAGAAGTGACAAAGATGGAGCAACTTAACTCTTGAACACTGAAATTGAGCAGAAGGAACTCCCAGGCAGATGGAGGGGACTTCTTCCCTGGCAGTGGTGGGCTAGCTTGGAAAATCAGGCTCTCTTGCCTCTAGCAGGAGGTAGCTGATTCTCTGGACCCAAAGAACTAGTGTCAAGTGTCCAAGTGTCTTAATTTCCGGAACAGGCTTGGTCCTGTCCAGATAGGTGGCAGCAGCTTCCACTTCCTCCTGGGTAACTCTTCTCGCTGTCCCCTCTGCTGAACACCTGCTGCCTGGGGCTGCGTGGGCAACTAAACGTTTACTCAGGCCCTGCCCCGGGAGATAAGGGAGATAGCCCGGCCTCCCTCGACAAGACACACCACTCCCCAGAACAGGTCTGTCCCCAGACACCTGGGGACTCTGAACAGAGTCTGTGAGGGCCGAGGAGAGGCCAGACTCCTCCTGTAACCTGAGCACCTGATTGACAAATCCACGGCTCTGTCATCAAATCAAAACAACTTAATATGAAAATGATTTTTATTTCTAAGTACAAAGCCAGATACTATCAAGACTATGAAAAACTGGCCAGAGGCCATAAGGGACGAAAAGAAGACTCTCTTTGGCCTGGTGCCCTGTGACCCCATGCAGTGCTGTGGGGACGCTGGGGCCACAGCAGAAGACTTGGCCAGTTGTGAGGTGTGTGAGGGAGGCCAACCTGCCATCCCCCGAGAGGGGCCCAGCTCTTGGCTTCTCAGAGCCTCCCTGGGCTGGGGACTGAGGTACCATCTGCCTCTGGGGTCCCCAGGAACTAAGTGGAGTGGGGGATGGGCAGGCGGGGGCAGGGAGGGAGGCGTGAACCTTCCTATACTGGAAAACTCTGGTTCTTTAAAATTCCTGTGGCTGCAAGTAAGTGTTTAGGGCAGGAGTTAAGAGTGAAACTAGGGGTGCTGTTGCCCCCAAAGGCACCTTCAGGCTCTCTACCACATCCCAATTGTAGGGAAAAGTCTTGAGCCCTTGTACAGGTGGACACGGATCTGGAATTTAAGGCTATAGGAGGTGAAGGCTGTGGTGATGGGCCTTGGGACCCTGGTGGGGGAAATAAGAGGAGCATGTATGGGCTGACAGGAGTGAGGAATGTTCATTGAGGAGCTGTGCCTTAGTTGTCTGTTTAGTGTCTAGGGGGCATGGGCATGTGGGGGGGTCAGGCCTCCTCCTCCTCTCCACTGTCATCCACACTGGCCTGCCTCACCACCTTCCGGATCCTAGGGGTGGAGGGACAGCCAGCCTCCCCCAGCTCCTGCCCTTGGAAGGCCTGGGTCCTGCTGGCCACCAGGGCAGCGCTGTGGAGGGCAACAACAGACTGGCGGGACTTCAGGGCAGGCCAGGGCCCCTTCCGGCCCCGCCGGTCCCCCCAGCCCGTGTTGGCCTTTGAGGGCTGAGGGAAGGGCTGCGGAGGGTCTTGGTCTGAAGACTCATTGGAAGAAAAAACCTAGATGGTGAGAGGACAGGGAAGAGTCACGGGGACGCCTTTCAAGGGCAGGGACTATCCTGTTTATTGTGTTGCCTGAACACGGAGCACAAAGCCTGGCAAGGATAGGTGCAAAATGTCTGTTGAATGAATGCAGGAAAACTGAGTGTCCCTAGGAGGGAAGGCAGTACCCAGCCTGACTGGTCCTGCGCCTCATCTGCCTATCACTTCCTGCTGGCCCCCAGCTCTCCTCAGCTCTTCCTATACCTGCCACGGCCTCCCTGCCCCCTGCTCCTCCTCATGCTCCCTCTGCCTTTGTACTTGGTCCAGTGAACCACATATGATATGCCTTTTGGGTGCCAGGCCCTGAATTGGGCTGTGTATGTGCCTGTTTGGGTGCTGAGTGAAGATGTCCTGCCTTTGGGAATGTCCACACCCGTCCATCCAACCATCCCTCCCTCCCTATCCTCCCGCACCCAGTGCTCCCTCCTCTAGGAAGCCTCCTCCAATGTTCCCGTCCTCCTCGAGCTCCCCACTCCTCCCTCTGGGTCAGCCATCTTGGTTGCGAGTCATGTGTGGGGCAGGCGTCCTGAGGCAGGTGTCACTTTCTGAGGTCCTACACTTGGGCCCTGCGGCACTCAGCGTGGAGTTCGCTGGGCAGCCCTGACCCTGGCCGGTCCTTTGGTCAGGCTGACATCTGCTGCCCCTCCAACCCTGGCTGGCTCGGCCTGAGGAGCCCACTCAGAACAGTACCCCTCTTCCTGACCCCTGACCACCCTTCTGCTCTAAGACAGTGAGATGCCTGCCCCTCCACCCCCTGTGCACAGGATGTGGCCTTCCTCAGGGACACGGGACACACTGAGAGGCCTGGTGCTGCGAGGTGTGGGCAAATGGAGGAGGAGGCAGGACCAGCCCCCAGGAGCCCTCATCTCTCAGGAGACCCCGCACGGGGGCCAGATTGGGTCCAGATACCCCCCTGCTCAGGGCCTAAAGTCGAGTCCCAGTTCTGGTCTTTCTTCAGCCTCCCTGCCGTCCTCCTTCTGCCCCTGCCTCCACCCCGTCCACCTCAGATGGGGCTCTTTCCCCAGCCTCACCTCTGGCAGGTCAGCAGCCTCTGAGGCACTTTCCAGCTCCGAGGAAGACTCCAGAAGACTGATGGACCTCATGACCCCGCGGAGGTTGATACGGGGCCGGGGCCCAGGCTCTTCTTTTGTGGCTGCCTCGCTCTCCTCCAACCCCATTGCCTTCACCTCCCCACTGCCTCCAGGTTCTTGCAGAGGAATTGAGAACGGCGCAGAGACTTCTGGGGCCAGGGGCTCCTCTGAGAAGACCCCACCCACCTTCTGCTCCCAGACCTGGCTCTGCCGACTGTAGGGGGTGGCTCTGAGTCAGCTTGAATGACCTAGCAGCCACCCCCCCGGGGCATGTGCCCACACACCTTTTCTCCTTGTCTCCCCGCTCTGTACCTGGCAGTCAGGATGCCCTGGTAGGTTTGCAGCTGGCGCAGGAAGCCAGGGTTGGGGCGGGCGATGGGCCGGAGCTCCTGCACGTGCTGCAGAGCCTGCTCCAGGCTCCAGCCGTACTGCTTCATGGCGTAGGCCATCACCGTGGCAGCCGAGCGGCTGACGCCCATCTTGCAGTGGACTAGGACCCGGGTGCCCTGGGCTCTGCGGGGGCAGGACACATTCGGCTCAGCCCTCCCCACCGTCACTGTGTCAGGACAGAACTGATGGCAGAGTGGGCAGGAGGAGGGCACCAGGACCACCCAAAGTCCAGGGTGGGCAGCTGGAGCGGGTGGCCCTGACCTGGCAGCCTCAATGAAGCCGTGCGTCTCCTTCCAGTGGGGCAGCAGCTGGGCCGACTCCTCGTCCCAGAGGCGCACGTTGTGGTAGATGAAGCGCTCAGGGTAGAAGTTGTCGATCTCCCGGCTCATGTTCAGGATGTGACTGACCCTGTAGCAGAAGGGCCAGGCTGACGTGGGCAGGGCCACCAGGCCCAGTGGCCGCCAGACCTGGTGGCCCCTGGGCTTTTCTGTTTAGTTCTCGGTTGAGAGAGTCAGGTGGAGGCTGCACAGGCAGAGTGGGAGGAGGCAGAGCCAGCTGTCAGGTGACTGTGGTCAGGAGCGAACCCTTTCCCTCACTGGGCTAGTCTCCCACCCAGCCGGCTAAGCCTCGTGTTTGCTCTGCGGTTTGTCAGAGAACAGTTTCTGAGTTCGGTCTGCAGGCGCTGGGCAAGAGGGCCATAGGGGTTTCCCAGAAGCCTGTTATGCACCAACGACAGGTCCTATCGGGGCAGACAGCCGGGTCCCCACGGGGAGGGGAGCAGCTCCTTCTCCTGAGACCAGGTCGGTGGAACGGGGCCCTTTTTGATTGGAAAAGGCATCGCAGGCAACGCCGTGCTTCATCTCTGCAGGGAGGAGGCTGTTCTGTTTGCTCTTGGTCTCCACAGCCTGTGCGCCCATGCAGGGGAGCAGCCTTGGGCTGAGATGGGTCCAGGCTACCCACGGCGGGGAGGCCAAGAGAAGGGGGATGCAGAGGGGCAGTCCTGAGGGGCTCCTACGCTACCTGTTCCTCTGCAGCTCCTCCAGGTTGGCCGCATTCCACTCGGAGCCCTGTGGAAAGGGGACGGAGAGGCACCATTCCCCTCGCTGCAGCCCCTGCCCTCAGCACCACTCGGCTCCCACCTGCCTGCCTGGCCGCTCACCAGGTAGAGGTGGGGGAAGATGCGGGACGCCCGGTCCTGCTGGGCCATGAGCAGCAGCATCTGGTTGTCGATGAAGTCACGGTACTGTCGCAGCGGGCAGCCTAGGCGCAGCTCCAGGGCCTGGCGGATCTGCAGGCAGAGTGGAGGGGGCCAGGGCTCAGGTGGCTCTCAAGGGTCCCGACTCCCTGTCCTTCCCTGTGGGCCTCAGCACCCTGTCCCATGAGGCAGAGGAGCCGAGACCAGGGCTGGGCTGCAGCCAGGACATCTGGGCTGGGCCCAGAACGGAAGATGGGTGGGGGAGCCCCGGCCCACCTCCTTGGAAGTGATGCTCTCCAGGTCACTGGTGTCCAGTACCTCCCACAGCTTGGCCTGGATCGCCTGCTCCATCTGCTCCTGCTCCGGGGTCCTGGGGGCCGGGCCTGTCAGTCGGGGCCTGATCCCGGCCTCAGCCTGGGCCCCGCCCCCCACCCTCCCCACCCGCACTGACCAGCCAGGCTTGGCGCTGGGAGGCCGCAGAGACTCCAGGTCAGCCATGGCCATCCACTCGTTGAGGCAGCTCTGGTCAGAGCTCACTCTCTCCTGGTAGTGGGTGGCCCAGGTGAGGGCAGTGCCCCCTGGCACCAGGCCGCTGCCTAGAGCCGCCTCACATGCCTGGTGCAACACTTGGAGCGTGGCCCTGGGGACAGGAGGAGGGGCTGGGCTCCACTGTCCTCCCTGCTGCCCCTCCCCAGGCCCTCTGGCATCTCCCGAGACGAACCTGGCCCAAGTCTGGGCCAAGCCCCTCCAGCCCAGCCTTACCACATGGTCTGGATGGAGATGGGCTTGAAGATCCGGCTCTGCCCACCGGACGTCACACTGAAGCCCCTGCAGAAAACCAGTGAGGGGTGGAAAACGCCGAAGCCAGAGGCCAGAGGCCCACCCACTGCCACCTCATGAGCCTGCCCTCAGAATAATGTACACAGCATTTGCCAGCTGTGGGAAGTGAGCTGGCCCACCCAGGATCACAGAGCATATCTGAGGTAGGGTGGAGTGGGCCCCAGACTCCCGGCCTAGGGGTCTACTGCTTCCCAGTGCCCCGCCCCCATCACACTGGTCAGACTTGGTGATTACATCCTCCTGGCCCCTCCGCTCCCCTGCCCCTCCCTCCAGGTGCCACCTCTTACCCATCCCCATCGAGGTACACCTGGGTGTCACTCCAGAGGGGCAAGACCAGGCCCAGGGTGCAGATGAGGGAGCTGGCAGGGGACAGAGGAAAGCCATCGTCCCCCAGCACCTCAATTCCTTGCCCCTTCCCTTCCTCTCCCTGTTCCCACCTTCTATCAGGAAAGTCCACCCCCAGGAGGACTGTCTCCTCCTGGCTCAGCTGTTCTCTTGTGGATACCACCAGCAGGTAGCGGAGCCGGGGGGGCTGGGCTGCCTCCAGCTGGACCGCCTGGGGGAGATGGGGAGGGAGAAGCCCAGAGTCACAGTGATCCAGAGGACCCTGGGGCCCACAACCCCCTGGACATACACCCAGGCCTAGAACAGACATCTAACGGCTAACCGCTCAGACCTGCCTGCGCCCCCTCTGCCCATTCCTGCCCTTCCCAGATACGAGATCCTCGAACCCCTGGTCCCCAGCCTTTGGATCTCATGGCCCCACAAATAAAAATGTTGAAGATTTTTTTCTTAAAATGAGAGATACATGGAAAAAAGGAACAGTGGGATTGACATAAAGTCCCTATTTTTTATTTCTGTCTAGTAAGAAGGCTTAAAAAAAAAATACACAAACCATCCTAACCCTTGCTATCATCATTTCATTAAAGAAATGTTTTGTCGCCAACGAAACATTAAGGACATGATCTCAAAACAAAGGCCGGCGCTCCCCTCGAGTGAATTCGGCCTTAGGAAAGACTTGGTACATCTTATTTCCACGTTTTGCCGCAGACAGCGAGATGTCTGCACAGGCGTTTGGGAACCACGATCCCGGATGTGGCAATCTCCCTTCTCTCTGTCCCTGACCCCCAGCACACCAGCCCCCAGTGGAGGCCCACTAAGCCCTCCTGAAGCCCTGGTGCATTTATGGACAACTCACATGACCAAAAAGGTCTTCTGTTGGTTGAATGGAAATCGACCTCTGTGTAATTCCTAACTCTGGACCTAGTTTGGCCCTGTGGGCTCAAAGAACAAACTTCCCCTGGCTCTCTACAGCCCCCAGACACCTGAAGCCATGAGCTCACCCTGATAACACTTCTCTGGCTGAAGGAGTAGGGTCCGTTGGGGTTTAAGCAACCCCTATGCTGCCCAGGGTGTCGCTGGCCTCACCCACTGCTCCCCACACACTCACGCGCACACACACCCTGTGCCCCCCACCCCCTCAAAGTGGCTGTCCCCTCTGGGACCCCTCACCAGGCGGATGTCGTCCTGCGGCCTCAGCATCTCCACCATGAGGTGCAGGTGCTGCCTCTGCTCCTGCTTCTGGGGACTCTGGGGCCCATGCCCGTTGTCCGTCCGGTCCTCATGGGCTTGCTCCTCACCTGGGGGTTCCTCTGCTGGCTCAGGGCTGGCCTCAGCTGCATCTCCATCATCCTCTGTGTCCTGCAGTCCCAGGACAGCCCCCCGGAGCACCGCAAAGCTCTGCCTGGCAGGGTGAAGGAAAACCAGGATGGCCACTCCAACCCCCTAGAGCAGTGGTTCTCAAACAAGACAGAACCTTCTGGAGGCCTTGTAAAACAGACTTCCGGGCCCCGCACACAGAGATTAAGAGGTCTCGAGTGGAGGCCTGAGAATTTGCATGTCTAACAGGTTCCCAGCTGATGTTGCAACCACACTTTGAGAACTGATCACACTGTGAGAACTGATCACACTGTGAGAACTGACCACACTGTGAGAACTGACCACACTTTGCGAACTGACCACACTTTGCGAACTGACCACACTTTGCGAACTGACCACACTTTGAGAACTGCCGCCTTAGAGGCTTTCGAAGCCCCCAGCCCATCTATCCTAGCTTTCTGAGGAGGGTAGAGGATGCTGCTCCTTCTCCTACCTGCCTAACTCAGGAGATGCTGTAAACTTGGTGGGGGGGACCCAGGAGTCCTCAGGCTCTGACCTCCCGTCATGCCCTTTGGCTTGTGACCACTGGCCTGAGTCAGGTCCATGGTGGTGGGTGAAGGAGCCCCAACTGACCAGGGGGTGGGTGGAAGCAAAGGCAGTCAGCCATGCCCACCAGGACTGACTTTGGCTGCAAGTCCTCCGGGGGGGCCTTCTGGCCCTGACACCTAGAGTCCAAGATGGCAATGGCCAAGCCTGGGGCAGCATGGAGGTGTCTGTCTGGGAGAGCTTACCGTCGCTGTAGCCGGCTTCTCTGCCTGGATGCCTGTTCCTGCTGAGAAAGGGGTTCCCAAGGGAGAGTGAGAGAGGGAGGAGAGCTCTTCTCCCCTTCCCCTCTCAGTGGTACTGGGGGATGGGGGAGGCGGCGGTGCCCTGGGGATTCCCCTGCCCTCCCTACAGGAGGCGAGGCTTCTCAGCAGGGCCCATTGGCTAGAAAAAGTGTCGGATGCCGCTCCTTTTCCAGCTCTAGTCCACACCCAACGCCGAGGAGCTGAGGGCGCCCAGACGAAGTCCCGGTCCGGGGAGGGAGACATGGAGGGGTCCGTGGGGCTGGCCCAGATTCTGGGCCCGGACAGGGGCAGGTTCCGCAGGCCAGACTGGCTCAGGGCTCCGGATCCTGCCTTGGTGCGAGTTCCCGGGAGCCTGAGGAACCCCGCCCCCCTCCAGCCTGAGTTTGAAGTCTCCCTCCGCGCACCCCCAGGCTCGAGGGGAGGCTTCCCGAGGACAGGACGTGCTCCCCAGGCCCAGCTGGCAGCCAGCTACATGGGCAGGACCACAGCGACGCCAGACTCACCGTGGGCCCCACGGGCGTGGAGTGGCCGCTGGCCGGAGGCGAGCGGCTCACTGTGACCAGGGCCATGGGGTCAGGCTGGGGCACCTGGGTTGGCGCCAGGCACGGCCCCCTCCCTCAGCCCCACGTACAGTCTGTGCCCCGCAGGACCAGGAAGGAAAGACTGGAGCCACCAGGGCCTGGTACCTCCCCGGGGGCGGCCCTTAAAGGGCCAGACGCCTGTCCAGCTGGCCTGCGGGACCGGCACCGAGCGGCCGTGGCCCCTCCCTTCGCGTCTCAGCCGGGGCGGCCGCCACGCCCCCGCCCCACTTCAATGCCGGAGGCGGGGCCGGGGCTGAGGCTGAGCCGGGGGCGTGGCGCAGGTGCGGAGGTGGGGGAGGGGCGGGGCCTGGGCGGGGGCGGGGGCGGAGTCCGGGGCCAAGAGGGGCCTGCCCGAGGTCCCTGCCGCTCGTGCAGTCTTTCACCTGGTTCCCTCCCTGTGCCCAAGGAGCGCCCTGCCCCGGCCTCCCTGCCCCGCGATTAGGTCGCCTGGGCGCGGCTCCGTGCCTCCACTGTTCTGTTACTGAGCAGCGTGGGTCTCAGATACCGCGGGTCGGTGGGCCCACCCAGAACTGATTTCTCCGCGCCGGACGACCCTCATGCCCACAGCGTTTCCTCTCTGTATTTGTCACTGGGGAACCTCGAAGCGTCAGGGGAAACCAGCTGGGGATTTAGAAATAACCCAAGGAGCGCACCCTGATTCCCGGGACCCCCGTGGAGGTCGGCAGGGAAAGGCGGAGCCGGCTTACAGCGCGGCAGGGGGAGTGATTCGTCCAGTCACTTGGATGCAACATACTAGAGCCAGGGCAGGAGCCAGGCCTGAGCTGGGGGGCTCTTTCCAGCTGGCTCTGAGTAGAGCCTGGAGGCCCAGCCTCCCCACTCCAGTTCTGGAAAAGAGGACTGGGTGGAAGCGGGAACCTGGGCCTCGAGTGGGCGGGCAGGGCTCAGGGGAGGTGACGCTGTGGGGCACCTGCTCTCTAGGGGCACACCTTCATGCTCAGCCAGACTCTCAGCAGCCTGGGGCGGTGGGGGGTGGCCTCCTCATCCTACCCCTGAAGAAACAGGCTCAGAGAGACCAGTAGGGCTGAAGGCAGGATTCCAGCCCAGGTCTGAGCCCCACTCCGTGGTGCCTGCCCCCAGGTGCCCCCGGGTTCTGGCCCACTGAGCAGACCAAGCCTGCTGCCGAAGGTCTCTTTATTTCCATCTTCGTCTCTATCAAGCACCCACCCGGGCACCAGGCCCCAAGCTCAGCAGCAGACAGTTTATAAATAAATAAATTATAAAAGCAGAGGGACAGCAGTCCAGCCCCCCAGGCCTGGTGCTCAGTGCTCCGTGAGCGACAGCCGCAGGATCCGCTGCAAGTCTTCCTCCTCCTGCTGCCCCCGCCGCTCCAGCTCCTCCTGCTCCCGCGAAGATAACTCCAGGGCCAGGCGAAGCTGCTCCTCAAAGCTTGGGGGTACAGGGGAAGGGGGTGTCCTGTGTGGGGATCCTGGGCCCCCAGGCTCTGTGCACAGCCGCAGGCTTTCCTGGAGGGCCCTTCCAGGTGCGGAGGGAGAGGGAGAGCGAGCAGTGAGCCTAAGGCCGGGGAGGTGGCTTAGGGCCAGGCCAAGGGGCTGGGGACAAGAACAAGGACAGAGTAGGGGGCCGGAGAAGGAAACAGACCATCCCTCACGCTACTTGTGATGGAGGGCAGCGTTGCTGATGAGGGTGGCCTTGGCGAGGGCACGGGGTCCTGGGCCCAGCACCTCCCTGCTTCCCACCCAGCCCGTACTAGCTCCTCCAGGCACAGTGGGGTCGAGCATGACCCAACAGGTCCTCGGGGGGCCTCACCGCTCCAGCTGAAGCTGCTCCTCATACACCGTGGGCTGGGGAGGAGGGTGGGTGCCGGGCCGAGCATTGGTCAGTGCCTCCCAGACAGTCACCTGCAGCAGCAGAAGCCCAGAGCTACCACCTGTGCCCTGTGGCCGCAGAAGCCAGGCCCCCTGCCCACGCCCCACCTGCTCCGCCTCTGTGCCAGCCTCCAGCAGGCTCTGCTGGATGGCAAACTGCAGCAGGTCGTCGTCCTCATCTCGGAGGGGCTCGCTGCGCTCTGCACCCAGCACGCTGTAGCCCTCGGGCACCTCAAACACGGCGGGGTCCACCTCGCACGGGAAGGGGCTCCCTGGGCAGACGGTGCCAGGCTCAGGCCGGGGCTCAGAGGCCAGTGAGTCGAGCCTCCCACCCCCTCCCGGCGGGGTACCTGAAGCTGCAGAGGCAGGGGCTGGCACCCACACGGAGCTCAGGGGCTCGTCACAGCCACAGAGGTTGCTGAAGGTGATGCGAGCGTTGAGCACATGGAAGAGGGGGATCTCTGCAGGAGACGGCCGAGCCTGAGCCATACCCCGAAAGACACAGACACGAGCAGTCTGGTCCCCTGGAGCCCCTCATCCACCCCCCTGGCCAGGAACTGCCCTGAGGGGAGGGCACCAGGCCTGGGGTCCTCCTGCCGCCCTGGCCCGTCCTGCCTCCAGCCGGCTCTCTCACCAATCTTGACGGGGAAGCCAGGCGGGAGGCGCAGGGTGATGAAGTCGCGCAGCTTGGCGAAGTGGGCGTTACTGATGGCCATCAGGTCGATGATGGGTGTCACCTGGTCCCCCAGGGACAGCGGGTGCTTCTCACTTAGCCATAGGGTGGCCTTGAACCTGCCCAGCCGAGCACCAGGTGAAGCTGAGGCCCCTGTGCTGAAGCCTCCCTTGGGACTCCTGCCTTTCCTCGTGCCCCCATCCTGCCTGGGGCACCCTCCTCTCTGCTCAGTCACCTCACTGCCCCCAAGAGTTGGTGTCCTTCCATCCCACCAGCCCAAGCTGCCTCCAGACCTGGGCCCACACTGAGGCTCATGATGGTTTTGTGCCATGCATCTGGGTGAGGAGGGCAGGGGCCAGGCAGGGGGCTGCCCTCTGGCCTCACCCACACCTCCAGCCTCCTCCTCAGGCCGCAGCCGCCAGTGCCTCACACTCTGCTGTCGTTTCATGCACAGCACAGCCCACAGGCCAGGACTGCTGGGGTTCGAATCCCACCCAGCTCCACACTGGACGGCAGAGATAACCCACGCGAGGCTGCCAGGACAGTGCTCGGCCTGCAGTAAACTCATGACGTGTGGTGATGCCATCACCATTACCACTCAGTCAGCCCTCACGATGCCCGCATGAGGCAGGCAGCCAGTCTGACCGTTCTCACCTCACTGAGGAGGAAATGACTGGAGAGGGGAGGCCATCTCCTTGGGCGGGGCTGTGGTTCCCGACACCCAGCCCAGTGTCTGTCCTCCTCTGCCACGTGCTGGCCCACAGCAGTGGCTCAGAAAAGATACACTGAATTGGCTCAAAAACCAAACATGGTTTTTTCATTAATTCATTCATTCACCAAGGCAGAGCGGCTAGTTCTCCGGGCCGCGCCTGTGCTGGGTGACGGGGTCATGGATGAACCAGACCCAGCTCCTGCCCTCAGAAGTAGCGTGTTGGGGAAGCCCGCTGTGTGAGCAGGTCCCTCAGTCAGATGGACCCCATGAGTGACAGGAGCCTGAGGGGTTCAGGGGGTCAGGACGGGGTCCCCATCGCCGAGGCGAGTCCCCAGCCGGCCCCAGGCCTCACCTCTGTACTTTGCTGGACATCTCGATGGGACGGCCGATGTTCCGTGACTCCAGGCTGAAGGTGGGGTCAAAGTATTCATCAGGGGAAATGGCTGTGGGGTTTGTGGGGCTGGCCGCCTGCTGTACGGGAGCCTGGGGGGATCCCCGGACCTGGCTGAGCACTCAGGAGGGGACGTGCCCGGCCCAGCCCGCGCTGCCTGACCCACCCCTGCCCAGCCCAGCCCAGCCCAGCCCTGGCTCACCCCATTGTGGCAGTGCTGCTGGGCCATCCCAAGGAAGGACTGGAATGGAGTCTTGCCCCCTGAGGAGAAGGGGTGTGAGCCATGAGGGGACTTTGGACCACTGTCCCCAGAATGTCCCCCCCACCCCATGAGCACTCTAGAGTGCCAGGATGGAGCCTGGGAGCCTCCTGTTGGGTGGGAAAGGGGCAAATGGAAATGGGGAGGCCTCCCAGCTTGTCCTGGGATACTCTGGGCCCTGACCCTAGACCAAGGTGACCCCACCACACGGTATGACTGGGCAGCAGGCAGGCGCACCTGGGTTTACCTTTGCTCCTCGACTTGTCTTGATCAGAGAGGTGCTCCGTGCGGGTGCGTGTCACCAGCTCCACATTGGTGGCACTGTACACCTGGGGTGGGGGGAACACGGGAAACGGGGGGCTCAGAGCCTGTCCCCCACACTCAGCCTCACTGACACAGGACCCATGTCTTCTTATCCCCAGAGACAGACGAACTCTCGCTCCCAATGACGGAGGAGGTGGCAGGGCCTGAACCCCGGGGGTCACCAATGAGGCGCTGCAGCCCCTGGCCCCTTCCTGGTGCCCTGGGTGGGGGCCCACGCTGTGGGTGATCCTGCCATGCTCAGCAGGGGCTGGGCACCCAGGCCCCGTCGAGTCCCCATGGGCGCACAGGGCTTCTGATAGCCTGAGGTCTCTTCTGTCTCTCCCCTTGCACTCTGGGGTGTATGTGGAGAAGGAGCTGAGTCCCTGGGCCTCGTCTCCCACCCCAAGGGCCCCACCACCAGCTTCTCCTGCCTTGGCCTCGTAGCCGCTCACGGTTTCCATTTTCTCAGACCGCCAGCCCCAGATACCACATTTGTTCCTGAAACAGATCAAGCAGGAGGAGCCCGTGAGGAGGCGCGCCCCTCACCCCCTGGCCAAAGCTACCCTCCCCACTCCAATTAGCCTGCCGTGACTGCTCCCCGTACCCCATCCCAGCCATGAGGGCACTTCCCATTCTGCAACATGCAAAGGCCTTGAAGAAGGTGCCTGGACAGCTGGGGACATTTGAAGAAGGAATGGGGACTAGAGACTATTGAGGAATTATCATTCACTTTGTTAGGTGTGATAATGGTGTCAGGGCTGTGGGTGATCCCATAAGGATGTTAAAAAGCATCCTTATCTGTTCGTGTCATGGGCAGAAGCAGTTACTGTTGTAATGACATGATGTCTGGGATGTGCTTTAAAATACTCCAAAAAAGAAAAGAAAGAAAAAAAGATAAGCAAGGTCAGATTAAACAAGATTGGTAAAATGTTGATAAATGTTGAAGCTGAGGGATGGGTTCATGATACTATTCTCTCTTCTTTCATATATGTTTGAAATGTTTCACGACAAAAAGTTAAAAATACAAATGTGGACTAATGGACCACAGCTACCAAGGCCTCCACCGGACTGAGGCCAGTACAGCTAGATGGTGCCTGGCTACCACCACTGACTGCTCTGACCAGGATCACAACAGAGGGTTCTGGACAGAGCTGGAGAAGGATGTAGAGCGT